TGCATCTTAGTCATGCCAGTAGTGTCAACTTTCAAAATTCTCTCTTTCGTATGTCATTGCCTGTTCACTTTCCACCCTCGTGATGGTCGGTGTGTATGATCCAGAACATGCTGGTTGAATTAAGTTGAATACCAACAATTTGTTTCTTTGAAACAAGTGTTGCAGTTCCAAATGAAAGGTTGTTTGCAACGATGATGGATTTACCACCAGGGCGTGGAGGGCTCGTGCCCCCTACGGCAGCCGAGCCTGTAGAGCCCCCTCTTCTCCGGCGGATGCTTTGTCGCTGCACGTCTCTTCTCTGGCGGATACTTTGCTGATGTGGTTCGGCTTTCGTAGTGGATACTTTGTTGCTACCGTTGTGCATCTCATCTCTGGTTCTTCTTGACGGATGCTTTGCCGCTGTCGTTGTGCCGGCTTCCTTGATGGATGCTTTGCCATAGAGGTCGCTTTGGTCTTTTTCTTATGACAGATGCTTTGTCGCTGCTACTACTGGAAGCTTTCTCGTTTTCTATGGGTGGATACTTCACCACCGTGGTTTGACTACCACTGCGTAGATGTCTAGGTTCAGGCTCTTGGGGTGTTGTGGCTGAGGGTCCTTGTATCTTTTCTCTTTGCTTCTCTCTTGTTACTCATAATGTCTTTGGAACTGCTGTGGTAATTATAGAATTATTTGTGAGTCCTTGTACGCTTCCAAACTCTAATTCCTCTTAACGAAAAACATGCCTCACTGTACAATCGTGAAAAAATGAAACGGATGCAATAGTAATCAACTCAAATCCAACACAAGAATGCATCTAATCAGCAGTACACTTAGGTCAGACTTAGATGCCAACATAACATAGATGAACAAACACAGATTGATGTATAGCTAGATAGTGATACTAGATAACATGTCATCTCAGTTGCATTTGGTGTTGGGCTTCTGAACAACCTCCTCCCCTTCCTCCTCACTCTCATCGTCATCCCTGTAGACATCAGACCAAAACGTAACACGAGGGTCATCCCTCAAGTTGGGTATGTCGAGCGTCTTAACCCTCTCCAGGTGCTCGAGCAACTCCTTATCCATGATGAGGTCGCCGTTCTCGTCCAGCCCCGCCGGGCGGTGCTCGAGCAACTCCGGATCCTGCTTGTCGATGACGAGGTCCCCGACGACGAGGTGGCTGTTCTCATCCCGGCCTATGTAGACCCAATCGTCGTCGTCGTCACATCCTCCGTCGACGGCCATCGAATCACAAGGCTTCTCGGCCGCCTGCTTCCTTTTGGTAGTGCACCCATCCTCACCGGTCGCCTTCAGCATCTGGCCCTCCCCCACACCGACACCGGCCGCCGCCCAGGAGCAAGGCTGCAGCGGAACAGACGACGCTGCCTCGCTGTGGGCCGCCGCTCCATCACCGGCCATCACGAGATGATCAGATCCGATTCGCAACTCGATCGCCTCCACGAGACGAGAGAGATCTTCTGGCGGATATATATGATGACGAGTCGTCGTCCTCCCCAATTCCTGTTCGGCGATCGTTCGTCTGGCGCCAACGTTCCGAGTCCAACACAGGGTCCACTTTCTGTTTTTCGTTTTTTATTACTCCGCAACGATGCTGTTACCTTGATTTGGAGCGAACGAGTTTTCATTTTCAATTTTTCCTTTTTATTTTTCTGTTGTTATATTTTTTCTGCTATGGACATTTTTTTCCAATTTAGATGTTTGTCCGAATAAGTTATGTAAAATAAAATCACTAGAGAATAAAAACTTATATGTATAAGTTATGTTATTTATAAAATGTATTATTATTATATAAAGTTGTGCCAAAAAATCATAATAGGTCTATCCCCTAATAATCATGAAAGAAGTTTGGGCTATAAAGGTTACATAGAAAAGTTATAATGATAAATTGTCTATAAAATTACATAAAAAATCTATATTAAAAAAGTTAACTTAAAAAATGTGGTGATAAGTTTTGTTCAGAATGTTATACAAAAAAAGTTATGAGTATAACTTTGCAACTTTCTAAAAAATTATACCGGTAAGATGTGTTTTACGGAATATTATACACAATAAATTGGAAACTCCCAATTCAGGATGTTTGGAAAGATTGAAAAAAAAAATACATCTTCAAAAGCTTCCAACCCCAGTTTCCAATCTTTCAGCACTTGGGAAAACAGGTCGCGACCGTGCGGAAAAATACGCATACGCTCGCGACTTGGGAAACCACTAACGCCAGTTTCCAAAACCCACTCCCAATCTTTATTTTTTTGGCAAGATTGAAAAAAATAGATCTCCAACAACTCTTTATATAGCACCCAATTTTTCAGCACTTGAAAAAATCAACCCAATCGTGCAAAATATATACGCTCGTATCTATCGACCAATATGGAGGTGGAAGGATGGGAGAAGAATATGAAGTAGCACATAGTTTCAAATAATGTATAAGAGAAAAAAAATATAAAGTGGTTAAGGTAATTTAGAAATAGTTCGGAGTTCTTGATGCAAAGTTATTTTAAGAGCAGAGATTTTAAAAACTATTGAAGAAATCCAACAAATATGCTTCCAACTTTTTTGCCACTTGAAAAACACATTGATTTACCAATTCTTTTCTTGGTAACTATTGAAGATGCTCTTTATATAATGGTGTTATCTAGGTTTCTAACTTAATTTTTCCCTCGAACAAGCCCATGGTGACTCGTATTTCATTAGGAGGCAACTCAAAAAATTACATATCCAGACCTCAAACTTTCTAATCTGACCACAAAGATGTATCTAGACTTACACGATAGTGCCATCTAGACCACTATTTTCTAAAATTACATATTTATATCCTTAAACTTGCTAATTATTCCACGTGAGGTCCAAAGTACCGTAGTTTTGTGATAAACCACAATAGATTTGTTGTTATATATCTGTGGTATACTCAATTGTATAAAATACTAGTCGCGCAACTGTGCGGGTCATATTGCGAGTACATTGTTCTTATGAGATTCGTTACTATAGTTCTGTTGGCCATCGCTTGACATGGGTGATTTGTTCTCATTCGTGGTGCTTAGATATGTCAAGCATTTCCTCTATTTTTTTAAATTATAAGTCATTCTATTTTTTTAGTGTACTATTTTTGCTATGCATTTAGATATAGATAATCTCTAGATACTCATTCATTCTTTTTTACATGCCATGCTAGGTAAAAGGTAAAAATGTTTAACTTAGAACAAACCTAATACGATATGTAAATAAAAATGGATAAAGTAGTACTTAATAAAAGTTCAAAAAGCTAAAAGTACTTAGGCCATTCTAGGCGTAAGTTTCATCACAATTACACATTTATATTTAATATAAGCCGGCACAAAAGCATTTTTTATGACATGACAACGTTTTTAAGATGAGAGAGCAAATGAGTTTTATGTGAATGAAATTTTCTTGCACGATTACTAACTCTCTATGACTTATGAAGTTAAATGTCTATGAAACTTTCAATATATTAAGAGTAAGTGTTTCATCCATGTTTCATTTAATTTTAAGAAGTGTCTAGTTATCTATCAATAGATTTTATGTGCTCAAATCCGTCAGATTTTATTTACAAACCCGTTAACTTGACAGTTGTAACATAAATCCTAAAGCACAATCAAACGTATAGAAATCTAACAGATTTAGTAAAAAAACTGTCCACAAATAAATAGC